AACTTTTTTAATAATAAAATACCAATACATCATTTTTAAATATTGAAGAAAAAATTACACCATATGTAATTTTAAAATACTAGATAATCCTGAGCAAATAATTGAGAGGACTAATCGTCATTTAATCCTGTTAAGAAATAGTTAGTGCCGTGAATTAATATGTTATACTTTGGACTCAGCATCGTCACACCATCTGCGTATACCGCATATACCTCATCAAGGGTCAATTCATTTGAAACAATGTTTGACTTATTCATCGTTGTCCCTTCTCCCACCAAAATGCAAGTAATTGTCTTTGGTTTCTTTTTCTTGTGGCTCGCGAGTGCGTGTGTAAGTAGGTTTAAGTAGAATTCGGCTGGATTCATTTTAACCATATCTTCTTAGAACTTTTATTCACCTTCAATAGTAACCAAGAAACATTGAGTATCTATTCGTTTATTATTTCTTTTTTTTTTTTTAACATGTACATTGGTATTTTAGACTTACCTTACTTCATAAGGAGGATATATTAGGGACCTTTAACTATCCTGGATCAAGCCAAGTAAGATTTTTTTAGACACAAAACTGTATCACTGAGTATTTGATGCGTCTATATTTTCAAAATTCAAATTCAAAAAACTCTTGTTAAGATGGTATAATTTTATTTCTAGTTAAATCAAATGCTCGGTGGTATCTTACTATTGATTTATTCTTTTAATAAACATAATGTATGAGAACTTACAATTCATGCAAAAATCTTATTGCTTTGTAAAATGAAAAGACAAAAGGGAGAATGAAAGTAAAGTCCTTAAAAAAATTAATTAATAATAATTAGATTTTTGACAAAATAAAAAAAAGAGTTGTAAATATTGGTTTAGACACTTGCAAACCTTGCAAACCGAGAGTTACGTTTATATTTTGAATATATTATTTATAGTTATTTAAATTAATATTTTCTATTTATTTTCTTAAATTTTTTTGAGGACCTAATTGTCAAATAAATTCTCTTTTCTAGGGCTCAATTTTCAGTTAAAAAAAAAAGAAATTATATACTCACTTTGGTCTCTGTTACAGGATGCATTTTAAAAGGATTTTATGATTCTCAATATAAGACATTTGATGGACTATTAATTTTATTTTTTTAATATTACCCCTATTTAAACTCATTAACTATGAGAGAGAATATAATATAAATTTAATTTTTTTATTTAAATGGAGATAAAATTTGAAGTATATTCAATTTTCAAACAAAATTAACAATTAACTTAACCACATTTCATTAGTTCCAATAAGATAGTTAGATATGCCTCATAATATATAGGGACATGAGGAAATGTGTGTGTGTATCTATAGATGGATTTAAATACTCTAAAGTTGGGATTGGTGAATTTTTGTGAAGTTTTCTTTTTTGGACAAGAGAGAGAAAATTTTATATTTTATAAAAAATAAAAAGAGTGAAAATATTAAAAATAGAAAACTTTATTTGGATTCACCAATATTAATTTCAGAGGATTGTAATCCTATATAGATATAGATATAGATAAGTTTAGAAGGAGCTGAATTTTCAAACAAAGTGAAACTGAGAAGAGAAGTGGTTTGTGGTGGTTAGTATGTGCAGGTGGACATTGATTCGTGTTAATTGTTAAACATGTTAATCCAAAGTTGTGGTATACTTGTTACCAGGACATGCACGCAATGTTTACTTGTGATTCTGATTGCACGAAGTGTCTCATAGTCATAACAATGTCTCAGAAGAAGAAAAGGTTTAAAGCCTCGACAAGTCTGAGGCCAAATTTATAGTCATGCGCATAGAATTTTCATCCATTGCATTTGTTATCCAAAAACATGACTTTTTGATTCCTGGAGATATCGTTTTCTTTGACAATCATTAATTTGTATAAACAGAACTGGTCAAAAGAATTGATACACGTGTTTATACAAATTTGGTTCACAACATTGAGTAGCAAATGAAGGATACGTAAATGATTGCCAAGGAAATCAGCACTCCTAATTGTAATCATGGAATTCGCTTTCCTCTTCTGCTTTCCTCTTTTACTGTGAAGGAAACACTGTAAAACTATACCGTTAAATTATATTTAATGATTTAAATTTGATAGTTTTTAAAAGTATATATTTAATTTGAATGATTAAGATTTAAGTCCGTCAATAATTTCGTTAAAAAGTATTTTTAATTTAATTTTATTATTTATAATATATATTTATATATACTTTATTTAATAATTTATTATTATGCTATAAATAAATAATTTAAAATAATAATTCCATTATTAATTCTATCAGTAACCCGTTTAGTGGGAGAATTTTTATTGACTAGCGACGGAACCAATCAGCCTTTTTTTTTATAGTGATATCTCTTGTTTGCCTCGATTATAGACAAAACATAAAAGAGACTATCAAGTTGGAATGGTAGATTTTTAAACTTAATTGGTTGGTCAACCTTGATTAGAGCAGTTCTATCTGCTCTCCTAAGCTATCACATGCATACGATGACCTTGCCAAAACAGCTCCTTAAGGATTTGAAAAGGGAGTGCCAACAGTTCCTCTGGGGGAAAATGATGAAAGTAAAAAAAAAAAAAAAAAAATCACCCCGTTTCCTGGGAGAATGTCACCTGAGACAAGAAAGAGGATGGCTTGGGGATCAAGGCTTTACAGAGGCAGAATGTAGCTTTAGTGACAAAGCTCTGCTAAAATATTCTTTACAATGAGGATGCACTATGGGTCAAGGTTTTGGAGACAAAAATACAAACGTGGAAATAATTCTACACCAAGAGTCATTAAAATACAAAATTCATCCTTTACTCCGAGAGGGATTTGTGGAGTTTGGGGTAGATTTAAGGAAGGAGTAGGAAAGAAGATTGGAGACGGTAACTCTACCAGTTTCTAGTTTGATAATTGGTCTATGATAAATGTCCCTTTAATTGAACTGGTGGCCAGGATATATAAAGCTTGATTGACAAAGATGAGAGGGTTTCAGATTATGTGGATCAATGTGGACAGTAGGATGTTCAAAAGTCGAATCATTGGTTCTAGGCTAATACAATTGTCTATCTTACTTGTGCCTACCTACTTAGTGAGGAGAGAGAAGAGGATAAAAAATTCTAGAAACTATCCACCAACAGATATTTTACTGTTAAATCTGCTTATTCTTTTTTGTCTACAGTAACAAGGAGGGGGCAGATAACATCTGGAAGATGATTTGGAAATAGCCTATATCGGAAAAGATTAAATCTTTTATGTGGTTGTTTGCTCATGACGTGATGCATACATACGAGCTAAGATACAAGAGAGGTCTTGTAAGCAGAGGGAACTATCCCTTTTGCTATGAGGCAATTGAAGATTCAATGCTTCTCATTCATGACTGTCTTGATGCACGGGAGAGGTAGAAAGCAGTGGTTGATGAGAAATTTTGGAATTCCTTTATTACTCTAAACGGTGTGGATTGGCTTAAATGGAACCTATGTCATGAAGCTGGTGAAGGGTTCACTAAAAAGGTAGAATGGGCTTCTCTATTTGTGTACATATGCTAGGATCTTTGGATTGACAGATACAAGAAGGCTTTTGATGAGGTAAATGATATTGATCCTCACATTGCCTTGTCTAGTTTCTTTTAGAGCTTGCTCTGATAAATGATGCTGTTAGATTGGAAGTGGATGGTTATGTTCTTCCTGATGGTAGTAGTGGCTGTGGCGGTAACACACGGGATGAAAATAGTAACTGGGTTAGAGGATTCAGTTGCAAGCTTATCAATGTTCCACCGGCTGTTGCATAATTATTAGCATGTCTTGATGGCTTATCTTTATGTTTGAATATTGGATTGCAAAATATGGGCATTTACTGTGGCTGCATTGAAGCTATCACTCTAATCACTAAGGCCTGTGATAACTCACCCTTTCAAGGACATTAGCAATGATGTTCAATTTTCGTTTCATAAGGACTGGAGTTTGCTTATCCCTCATGTTCATAGAAGCTCTTTGCTGATTAATTAGCTAGGTTTTTTTTTCTCTCACTATTTAAGCGTTAATTTTTATACATTTGATCAATTCCCACCTCTTCCCTAAGAGGTGGTGATTGATGAAAGTTATCTTGCAGGTTCTCTACTCTTGGGCAATCTCTTTTGATTTATGAAGGCTTTTTTTCATCAAAAAATAAATAATAATTTAGAAACTTAGATTATGATAAGATTCAGATTTGGTATTCCTTTTGATCTTATTTATAAGTCATTTTTAACACATTTTACCAAAATCAACAAAAATTTTAAATTTTATGAACTTTGTTTTAAAATTATAAGTTTTCGCCTTTATCCCTTGATAATTAATAACGAAAAAAATTATTTTTAATAATTTTTTTCTAACATTTAAAAAGGGTAAAAAAATATAGAAAATAATGAAATACCTTATAAATAGGACTAAAATTAATTTTCTCTCTTTACCCTATAAATATAATCAAAGGATTATTAACTTTCTTATGAGATCTTTAATGATCATTCTCCAAGACAAATTACCTCCAATAATTGCATGGGAAATTAAATGAATTCCCTTGGTTCAAAAACAATTGTCATTTTGAAGTTGTTAATATAATTTTATTGAGAAAGCTAATAAATAGCCTACATTTTAACAAAAGAACTGTATTTTTTTTTAATAAAATCTGAGGCTTTAAAATAAATTTGGACTACTCAAGGGTAAAGTTATTAAAAAATAGTAATTAATGTTATGTTTTTAAAAACCTGAAGTAGAAATTGTCTCAAAACAAAGCTCAACCTCCCAAAAAAAAAATGATTGTTTAAAAACAGATGGAGTATTTAAAATAAACACCATGTATGCTACAAAAATAGATAGACCAAGCACGGAGGTGCATTGTCCATGACTTATGAACAATGCTCTTCATAACCTTTTTAATAGATATATTAGTTGAAAAACATGAAATCTATATATTGTACAAGATTTGAAAAACAGTGACATTAATATTAATTAATTTATTAATAATGTCTTTGTATCATGAAATATTATATTTGCATGTATATTGAATATCTGCTATGTACTTTTAATGTGCCATCATGCCTTGCTGCTATACTAGAAACATTACCGTACAGCAATATCAGTCAGGTTGATTGGATCCTACACAAGATTAGTGACATAGTCATGAGCTTCTTTTCTTATTCAAGGCATCAAACGACCATCTTGTTCATCCGCACCAAGACTTCAAGCAATCGTCCACACCCTATCATAATCCACTCCTGATAAACGTAGTGATGACGAAATGGTTGAGTCAGATTGCATTAAACCAGTGGACTTGTAAAGGACAACGATGATTAAATTTTTCTTCCTTTCATACATGTTTCATGTAGCTCTGCCGTTGGATCCACGAAACACCAGAAACATCCCATTTTAGTTCCCACATATCTTTCACAACCCATATGCATATTTATCTGTATTCAGATGTAATATATTGCTCCCTCCTTCAGTCCTTTTTATAAGACCCTATTGAAAACTTCTATGAGATTAAGAAAAATAGTTAAAAGCAGTTGAAGGTAAAAAAATTTCAAATGAGACAAAGGTTTTTTTCTTTTTCTTTTTTTTTTTTGGGGTAACACAAGAAATAGACTCTATTGACAACATAAATTTATCTTCCTGAGATACCAAGAATAAAATACAGACGACTTCTAAATTTATATACGTAAAAGCTAAAATTCAAACCTTCAATCACTTACCTAAATGATAAGAGACTCTATTACTCACAGAAACTTTAGTTGTGAGACAAAGGGTATTTTTGAAAATATGTCGTGAATATTTCATTAAATTTTGCAAAGGACAGGAAAGAGTAATAAATAGCCGGTAAGTGTAGGAGAGGGCTTGACTTGTGTATATATATAGGTTTTGGGTCATAGTAGCAGCTAGTGTTAAGTTGAGTGGGGAATATGGGGAGGCAACCTTGCTGTGACAAACTTGAAGTGAAGAAAGGACCATGGACTGCTGAAGAAGACAAGAAGCTCATCAGCTTCATTCTCACCAATGGTCACTGTTGCTGGCGAGCAGTTCCAAAGTTGGCCGGCCTACGGCGATGTGGCAAGAGCTGTAGGCTTCGTTGGACTAACTATCTCCGTCCTGACTTGAAGAGAGGCCTCCTCACTGATGCAGAAGAGAACCTTGTCATCGATCTCCATTCCCGCCTTGGCAACAGGTTAAGCTTTTCTTCTTTATTTCCTTACCTGCAAATGATAAACAGTTCAGACTTGCATGTTAAGCCCATCAAATTTAGATTATTGGTCACTTTCAGATTTAACTTTGATTACTCAAAATGGCCTTTGTTTGCGCTGCAGTAATCCAGTGGAAGGTGTAAAAGAAATCCCCTTGTTTAATCTCATATCAGCATGTAAATGATGGGTTTCTCTGTGACAGGTGGTCTATGATTGCAGCAAAATTACCAGGAAGAACAGACAATGAGATTAAAAACCATTGGAACACTCACATCAAGAAAAAGCTGCTTAAGATGGGTATTGATCCTGTTACCCATGAGCCTCTCAACAAAGAAGCTACTTCCCAGGATAATTCATCCCCTGCAGAACATTTGTCACAGTCTGACAGAGATCATCATCAGTTGATTGTTCACAATTCAAAGGAGAATTCAATCTCATCACCGACCGAAAATATATGTGGAGATGAACATCTTTCACAAGACATCAATCGTAGCGACGACCTTCTCTCGAACGACTTGCGGCCAGATGAAACTTCACTAGTGGATGCATTATGGGAAAGCATATCTTCTGATGCACAGAACACTAATTATGACTTGGCACTGTCATCTTGCGAGGATAGCAGTTCTTGGTTATTAGACTCTCAGGACTTTGGTGTTCATGATTTTAGTTTTAATTGCATCAATGAGATTGAGCCTCAGGCCCTGCAGACTCCAGCAATGGAGGTGAAGGAACATTAGCGATGCTGTTACAGAATGCTATTGAAAGGTGGAAGATGAACACATCCTTATATCAGGCTCCTGATCATTCATCGTCAATCTGCATATAAATGTTACAAAACCATGCCATCAGATTCTACAATGTTACTTGCTGCGTTGTAAATGTTGTAATGGTAGGAGACAACTTACAACGATAGGAAATATAAGAGTGCTGGTGGTTCTTTGTGATTGTAAAACCTATTGTGTACATAGATGCTTACTTTGAAAACGTTATTTCATTGTGGATTCGTGGCTTTAAATTGTGCAGTACTATATACATTTCCTGGTTTAGGTCACGTTAAATTAGATAGACAGAACCAGTCAGACAGGGAGAACCATAAACATCGCTCTACTTTTATCAAAGGCTTTTTAATTCCATTGCATCTCTCTCGCTTTCTGGGTGTCCCAAATTCCCCATTTTTCTCTCCTTAAACTTTATTCTCATTTGCTTTTCTAAAATAATCTGACAGCCATCAAGTTGTCATCAAAGGACAGTCCAATGATTGAGTATTGACATTCCATCAAGCAGCTCTCGAACTTAAAAAAAATATTCCCACTGAGAAGTAAAGTTCATCCGACGAGCATAATCTATTGCTAGTTGGGTCGCTTTTCCCGGATTAAAATAGAAAACCTTATCTTTTGTATCTGATGAAATCTATTCACTGGAAAATTAAATTGTCAACAAATCGAATTAGATAGCAATAAATTAGAGAGATGGAAGCTACAACGTACAAGCCAAAGTACCAAATTATCCGCGATAAGCTATTTAAATCATCAAATTCAAGCCGTTTTACCATTAGACACTTGGAAATCCAGACATACAGAAAGCAGGTGGTTTTATTGATATACTTATTTATTAGTATAAGATTGAAGTGCGAGAGCTCAATTTATCAGATTCATTGAAATTAATTTATCTTCATTATTGTCACTAACCAAGTGGCATGGTTACAGTATGGAATATCCCGAACATAGTGGTGACATTCCGTTCTCTTCTTGTGGTGCTACAGATGAATGTGGCGAGAAAATGATGCTCTTTAACTAACTAGCTTTTCATAAATTAAGTTCAATGGACAACGCACCCTGCTTTGGAAGAGTATCTTCTAATTATATTTATTCACATTTTAACACTATTTGGCATCACCCGAGAAAAAGCACATTTAAGCAGGGTGGTCTCGCTTGTTAAACAAGTTGTGCTTTAAAGCAACTTTCTGAATCATTATATCCATAGACTAGATATCATCCCATTTAGCTTTACTTAATGGTACTAATAATCATAACATTCATCTTTCTTCTTTTCTAGTCCCTAAAATATTTTGTCCTATACAAATTAAATGTCCTCGGCTTTCCTTGAGGCCAAGAAAGGGCGTTCCCCCATCAAAATTCTAGAGGAACGAGAGATTTTAACATGCTAACCAGGCACTTCATGTGCAAATTCTACGCCCCTGACCAAGGAGACTAAGATGCACATATAAACTTCGGAACATACGGGGGGACTAATTTGTACAACACTTATTCTTGCTTTGCATGGGGAAAAAAATTAGTGGGGAAAGAAAATCAGGAGAGAAAACTGCAAAATTTCCCTCCCAATTCTCCTTCACCTCTATTTTCTTCCCACTTTTCCCTTCATCCAAGCATTAGTGACTAAAGTGAGGAAAGAATCTGTTAAGAATCAAGTAGTTCGCACTGTCGTATATTATATAACGTTGTATGATGTCATTTATCCGAAAATCTCAAAGGAGTGTTAAATTGGACTCTAATACCTCACATTGTCAATTGGTCTCGAAGACTAGAATGCGGCGGGGAAATGTTTTTGGTTATTATACCTGAAGTTGGTTTCTTCTGATCAGCCTCTTCAAGTAGGCGATTCAATATGATAATGTTATACAAGCTTTATCCAAGCAAGGATTTTCTAGCGGTAAAAGATGTTGTTAAGATAACATTGGGAAGAAGATTTTCTTTCTGGGCCAATTGACATTTTATTAAAATACAAACAATCAGACACCAAACACAGAACAGAAGAACAGAATGAAGACTGTTTGTCAAGTTAATCAATCACAAGTGCATGCTCCTTACTCCTTAGAAGAGAATTCCTGAAAGTGGCAGGGTCGTCAAGAGACTTGTTCTTCTTATCGAAGCAGTAGACAGGAGCTTGCCACTTAGCATCCTCCAACGAAGCACCCACTTCAAATGTCATCACATGTGCCTGTCTACCTGTAAGCATTAAGCAAATTACTTCAGCTCAAATATTGCATTACCGTATTATTTTCATTTCTACAATTCCAAGAATCAAAAGACGAACAGATGCATATACAGAACATACCAGTGTAGAAGACCCATTGAACAGGCCTATTGGACACAACATCTTCATAGTACCAAATAAAGTCTACTTTCTCCCAAACATTGCAGAGGAAGCCATCCACAGTTTGCTGACCCAAATAGTGAGCACCATCCAACCAATTAGGACGAAGAATACCAACCTCGAGCTGAACAGACCTGCACTCCTGGGTGGAGTCCAAAGTATAGAAGAAGGAGGTGCCGTTGTTCCATTCGAGGTCGTAGAGAATCTTATCACCGAGCTGATCCTGTATGATGTTGAAGTTGCGACCGTTGGGCCAGTCGTACCAGAGATCGATCTTCTGAAGGGATCCACTGTAGTTCATGAACAAAATGGAGTGAAATTGGTGAGGCCATGGGGTCGGAGTTGGCGTCTCCGTTGTGGAGGACACAATCGGCAATAGAATAGAAGCAATGGCCCATGGAAGAAGGATGAAGACGATCGAGAGCATCAAAGTCATCGTGGTTTACCCACAAGGAACCTTTGGTGTGCCGTGAAGAGAAGTCAAGGAGCGACAAGTGGAAACTCGAAGCGACGCTCACTCCCCCCCTCTCTCTCCCTCTCTCACTCACACGCGCGCGCGCGCGCGCGCACACGCACAACTGACACATGCCCCACTCGTCTAACACACACAACCAACAGCTTTTTTCTTTTCATATATTTTTTTTAAAAATATAATTTTAAATTCTCATACTTTACTCACATTTTATTATTAAATCTTACATTTTTTAATATTTTAAATTTCTATATTTATATTTTTTTAATATTTTAAATTTTTCTAATGTCTTTATATTTTATTTATGAAGAATTTAAAATATCAAAAAATAAAAGTATAGGAATATAAAACATAAAATAAAAGTGTAAGGACTAATATTAAAACATGAGCAACATGCATGAATTCAAAATTATTTTTTTATATTTTTTTTATATTAATTTATAAGATATTTTTAAATAATATCACACATTTTAGAATTTTATTTGTTCAAAATAAAAATATAAATTTTTTAAAAATATCTTTCAGTTAATATTTCATTTATAAAAGAATACTAAAAAGAAAAGAAAAGTAATATTGAAAAAATATTATTAATAAAACTTTATTTTTATCAAAATGTATTATATTTTAAGATGTTGAATCTCTTCTAAAAATGTTTTATAATTTGAGATGGAGGTAATACTTTAATTCACTATAATAAATTAAAGTACACGATTAGTTTATTTATGTTTTCAATCATTTATATGATTTCATCTTTAAATAATAAGGTTTTTTGGTGATTTTTTTAAACATTTAATTTTATAATTAAACTATTAAAAAAGGGTTAATGAGCAAATAAGATCCTGAACTCTTACTTAAAAATTGCATTGGACCTTAAACTCTTAAAATAAGCAAAATAAACCCTAAACTATTAAATTCATAGTAAAATAAACTTTGATCGTTAATTTTTTTAATACCGTTACTGTCTATGCGAGTATTGTAACAATCAAGGTATTGTTTAAGGTTTATTTTCCTACGAGTTTAACCTTGACTATTACAATACCCTTGTGAACCCTGAAGTATTGTGCAAAAAGCGCTATGAACCCTAAACTCTTAAAATGTATAAAATAAACTCTAAACTTTAAAATTCATAATAAATTAAACCCTACCATTAATTTTTTATTAACACCATTACTATTCACTATGGGCACCCAGTAAAATGCTCACATGGCAGTTCCTTGCTGATGTATCATTTGTTAATTAGCACTACAAACCTTAAACTATTACGGGAGTAACATCCTGAACCCTAAACTTTAAAATTTTGGGCAAATTACCTCCATCATTTATATATAGAACGTTAACTATTATATAGACTAAATTAGCCTCAGCGTGATTCACTGTGATGAATGCATCATTGGTCATGGTGAGTAACCCATAATTTTGTGAAATGATCTTTTTTGTTCTTTTTTTTTGCAATGTTTTTCAAACGATTAGTATCTCCTACTTTCGTATATTATATAACTCTGCTTTAGTCTTATTTTAAATAATATTTGTTTATTTAATGGTGAAAATTTGGGATCCCATGAAAAAAGAAGTTTAAATATTAGAGGATTTTAATTACCTAGTTAATTTGGTTTTAAATTCTTTGATAAAATCATCAGCTTTTGCATCCATCGTCTATAAAATCTTATGATACTTAAATTTTTTTTTCAAATGGGATCCCAAGTTTTCACCATCAAATCAATAAATATTATTCAAAACAAGACTAAATCATAGTTATAGAGTATGTAGAAGTTTGTGATACCAATTTTTTGGAAAACATTACAAAAAAAAGAGGCAAAAATATCATTTTACAAAATTATGGATCGTTCACCATAGCCAATGATGCGTTCATTGTGGTGGATCACACTAAGGTTAATTTAGTTCACATAATAGTTAATTTTTTATATATAAATGATGGGGGTAATTTGCTCAAAATTTCAAAATTTAGGGTCTAAGACACTACTCACGTAATAGTTTAGACTCTGTGGTGCTAATTAACAAATAACACATCAGCAATGGACTGTCATATTAGCATTTAACTATGGCCTATAGTGAACAGTAACAGGGTTAACAAAAAAGTAACAGTAGGGTTTAATTTGTTATGAATTTAAAAGTTTAGGGTTTATTTTACACATTTTAAGAGTTTAGGGTCCAGGGTATTTTTTACGTAATACTTCAGTATCCATTTTACTTATTAACCTTATTTTTTAAAAATATATGTATATATATTATTTAATTTTAAATAATCATCAACGCATATATATTATTTAAGGTTTTTTTAACATTTTGATAATAATAAATGGTATATACTCTTCTAAATATATTTAAAAAAGGGTCTAACATATGCAATTATTAAGTATTATTCTATTTTTTGAGTGAATAAACAATAATAATGAAAAAAAAAACACTCCAGCCTATCCTATATATAAATTATCTTTTAAAATAGATTGATAATTTTTTGTAAGTCACTTCATATAAAAAGATGGATTATTTTTTTTTAATTTTATTCTTTCAAAATATCTTATAAATAGACTAAGAGGCAGCATATGAAATATTTGGATTTAATCAATAACCTGAGTCTACTCATTCAAATTTTTGGAGGACACATGAAAAGTGTTTTAACAAAGAGGATTTTTTTAAAATTTTTAGAGAAAAAATATATGCTAATAATTTTCAAATACTGATGAAATCTTATAGTTATAATTGAGACACTTATTGAGTAAGTAAACTTGGACCACTCATTGAATTCAAATCCACACATGAGAGAGCAATTATTTTTTAAAGATGATACATTTCATTAGAGAAAACCCAAAAATATATTTTTTTTTCAAGTAATACCAATAATTTAACTACTTTTTTGTTCCTATAAAATAATTAAAAATAACACACACACACACAATATGCATGGTAAGAAATATGTGAACAAACACAAATAAATAAATATACATAGTGTATATGTGTGTGCCTGTAACATATAAGTGAGAAGGTGTCCATGTATGTGAAAGGATGTGGGGAGTTTTGAATGAGTGCTTGGATGATATCTATATATATACTCTCTCTGGTCTAAAATATAAGCAGCTTTTAGGAAATTTGGAAAAATCTATTTATCAGTAAAGTTTTTCATAAAAATACATATTGTTTTTTCTTTTTACTCTTAGTCCTAGTTACCAATGCACTTCATGAGGAGTGAAAGATATATTTACACAAATATCTAAGTTAATAAATACAAGGGGTAAAATTGTAAAAAAATTATATGTACTAGATTATTTATATTTTGATCTAAGATTAGTTGAGGAGAAATGCCTATACTTTGCACCATAAGTGAGTATACCTTTAACCTACCTATATTATGTAAAGAGATGGCAAAAATCAATCCCCTTAAATTTTTTTTATGTGCATTAGGCACCTACACTGAAGGGTGGAACAATATCCTCTCAAAAAAATTTTCAAGAGCAAAATTATTCTTCCATTAGAGACCTATCATCTTCTTTGTTCTTTACTGATGTGTGATAATTGTGGAGCTCATGCACAATGATAATAAGACATTTTGACTTATTTTACCATCATTTTGCCCCTAAAATTAGGCCCAGTTCTTGCTACTATCACAGTAGTCTTGTAAAGTCCCAACTCAATTTGAACTTTATCATTCCCAATCACACAATCAATAAATACTAACACAATAATATTAGAATAATAGCCTTTTATTTGTTTTCAAATCATGGGATTCTAAATTCTTAAAATATATATTCAAATAAGAGGGCTAGCGGAGTGCAAACATATTCATAAGACTCAATAAGACACAACATCTCAACCTTAAAAAGGGTTATGCACCGCAGCATGTGCCACATGCATCGTGGCATGTGGTATAGAGCAACGTGCTTTGTTTCTGTCTATGTCATGCGTCGTGGCACATATAACAATAATTTTTGCTATCATATGACATCTCTGAAACAAACTTCCACCGCATGTCATTTCCACATCCGACATCCGATTGGAATGATTCAAGTGCTTACATGAAGCTTACAACATATACTAAATAATGGAATAAGTTTGGACTTAATCTGATAGTCTGATATAAAATTAGACACGCAGGTGAAAAAAGTCACTTTTCTTTTAAAAACTTGCACCTAAGCGCTCAATTCTCATTCCTAGTCCCATTAGATCACTTTGGGCTTGAACTAAGTCCAAAAGGATCATATACACCTGTTTTACACTACTAACCACATATATCACATCATTTACTCAATTTGACCTTTCAATAGCACATTACACACTTGTGGACTTATATAAAGCACAACATATGCAACACATACACACACATATGAAATTAGACTTGTTTCACTTTCAACCCTTCATCTCTTACATATAGGGTTCCACCTTACCATATGACCAAGAATCGTAAATGTACTTGACTCTTCCAAATAGGCCTCTTTACCATTTATGTCAAGTTCTCATATATATACACAATTAGAATAAGTTATACAATACCACATGCTTGCTTGTTTAGCATCTAGACCTATCACATACCCCCTCACTGGGGCACCCTTAGAGAGATGCAACAACATATATATATATATATATATAAGCAAGTTCGCAACATAATTCAATACACAGTCAATTATGCATCTTAGTTGGCAATCAAACTCTCTCTACAACTTAATACATTCATTTATACATGTGGTAGTCATACCATTACCAAATGAGCTACTCTTTCCTCACTTCCTTTCCCAACCTTTTTCGTGCTCTCTTCACCTGTGTTTAAAAGTAACGAAGTGAGACATATGTCCTAATAACTCTGAGGTAACTCTAATTACTGGTTAGTAAGAAAAATCATAAACAAAAGATAAAGTAGCATGTGTTTCAGTAAAAGTAATATCATATGCATATATATGAATTCATTTTCATTAATCTCATCATGCTCATGCAATGCATTCTTGGTTCCATCTAGTAAACTAATCTCTATACTCATACTAAGACTTCCAACTATATAGAACAGGGCCTACCATACCACTGTTCAGACCAGGTAATCC